TTTCGCGCGCCTTCCGCGCGCCTTTCGCGAAAATCCGTTCTGCAACATCTGCCCGGGAAGCGACTTGATGGACGTTGATGGACAGGGATACAGATGATGCATGAGCAACGGTCCAACTATGCCACGCTACAAGAGAAGTGGTTGGGACTGACTTTTGAACCTTGCGCGAACCTTTCGCCGCCCTTTTGCGATCTTTCGCCCGCAGTTGTTATTGCATCATGCGTTTTAAACATGGGTATTTGGACGATCCCCAAATTTTGGGAGTCATGGAACTGCAAAGTCAAGGCAATATGCAGAAGGCTTTTCTTGCACGCAGCAGGATGATCACAGATCCACTGCCTCCTCCACCTGTCAACAGAGCGAGTTGGATTACTGTCCCCAAGGCAGCTGGAATGATGGCGGGCCTCATCCAATTTTCGCCGCTGTCTCAACTCCGCTCCAGCAGCCTTCTTCCAACAATGGCCACGGTCTAGCTTCACATGGGCTAAAAAAAACAAACAGAGTCAGCAACTGGGCTGCTGCTTGCCTGCGATTCGCGCGCTACACTCGACGATGATCCCAAGACCTTGCCGTCCGGCAGTGGTGGAAACAATGGATGTGTAATAGTGACAGCCCGAGAAACAGATCAATTGAATAATGCTCAAGACACTCAAACACTGCTCCATGGCAGAGCGCAAAAGAAGCAAGTAAGCCTTCATCTCAACCTTTTCCTTGATCTCGTTGATCTTCTCGTCAACCTGCTCCCATTCAATAAAGCAGACTAGCCCTGCATTATGACAACCTCCACCCACCTTGAGGACCATGCTGCGCAGCAGGCTGAGTCCCGTGAAAGACAGGAGGTAGTCGGCAAAGAACTGCCCATTTTCATAACACTCTGCAAATCAAGTTCTCACTGGTCCAGAACTGATGTCTGGGCACCGCACCAGGATTTCGATCATCCCACCCAACCAGGACTGGAAGTCTGAGTAGTGTGGCATCTGCACCTGGCTTTCTGTCACCCTTACAATGTTTCGGGCAGTTAGACTTTGAGTGTGGTGGGGTTATGATGTCAATTCGCTGACACAGAAAACTCAACAATCATATTACGCTTGGTGGGGGGGATTTGCATGCACGCTCAGGAGCATTTGCACACCTGTAAGTCGCGCTGACACAGGCTTCCCTCTACAAACTTGGTGAGACGTTCGAGACACCTCTAGTTTGAAGCTTGCACGAACACACATGTCATGGCATTTGACTTGCATATGCCCAGAGGTGCGGGGCAAACACTAACCTCCCAGACTCAAGCTCTTGTTCACGAGGCTGTTGGCCATGCGCTGACTGTGAACATAGCTTTCTGGCCTCTCGCGAGCAAGGCCAGGTGCGTTAACGGTCTGGTGATGTCCATCCTACGGGACATCCTGCCATCCCGGGTCGTGTTACGACCTCCTGGAGCTAGCAGGATCATTTGTACAGCGTGACTGCATCTGCCAAGCCAACTTGTTGCCTGCAACCTGGACTTTAAGAAGTACATACATCATGCTGTTGACATGCTGGGTAAAGCCCGGCAGAGCACTGAGCGAGACCACCAGAAAAATGCGATCGTGCATCAAATTCATTTTCGTGCAAATATTGAATTGGGGTTGCCCAGGACAACCCCTCTAGGTCAAGATGACAGAACAAGCGGCGACTATGTCTACACACCACTGCTCAATTCTGCCCTGCGCGACATTTGTTGTATTCAAAAACCTGTCTCTCTGGACGCATGACGGTTGATGTAAATTGTTTTATTGTATCTTCAGCCGGACCGGGGCAGCATCGCATGCCAGACTTTGTATGATCGACAGGCGCCTTACCCTTTTGGCTCAGGCCACGCAAGTCAGGCCAGCGAATTCCGTAGAACTAGCTACAATGTCAGCACCGCTGCCGCGCAGAATTCCAGGAACAGGACCCTGTAGGTTGTTAGACTTCAAATCTTCCACTTAATCTGCTGCCACCATTGAATCTTGGAAGATTTTAGGGAGTGCCGTGCCAGTTTAGCTGTTCTTGGCTGGGTTAAATGAGCCTTTCTGCTTGGCTTTTCCTGACGAGCTGCGCCTCCCTCCTACGTAGCCCGGCAAGAAGGCCTCTTTCCACACCTTCACAGATCGTGCTACTCAACACTTCTTGCCGTCATTACTAACTATTGGTACCTTTTTGCATAGCTCCTAAACATGAAATCCTTGTCTGAATCCCAAGATAGTGCAGGTCGCAGGATAACAATGGCCCTAGGACCCGGAGGCCCATGACATCGTCCTTTCCGTGCTAGCAGGGCGGGCCGCCATAGCTCAGCTGAAGTAGCTCTGCTCGCACGCCACCAGCTTTGCCACTAGGGGCACCAGAGAGTTGAGATCATCGGACCTGCCATGGATAAATGCCCTTTTTTGCAAATGGGGTGCCCTTACGTTGATGAGCTGCCCAGCCCATGTGCACAGCCGGAACTGGGCTGTGTACTCAAGTGGGTGCTTGAGTCCAGTCCTTGTACCCATCAACAGGTCAGCCTGGCGCAGTAGTGGCCTCGCTGAAAGCCTGGAAGCTTGATGCAAATGCTGAAACACCCCAGAATCAAATGGTGATCTGTTCGTCTCTGTGTAGCCTCTTGCCTACTGTGCTGTTTAGGATCCCTTGTTGCTCGCGTTGAGTAGATGGCATGATGCTCATACGAAGCAAGGACTCCATGCTCAGCTCCCAAGTCGTGACCATGCATGATGCCAGTGAGGTGGCCAATTCCCTTTCAAAGACACGGCCCCTGGCCTCATCAATGTCCTCGGGAAGGAACATTGACGAATCTCGCGGCCTTCGGAAACGGGATGTTAGTCTGGCACTGCCATCTGCTTTGCGGAAATTTGATTCACTTGCCCTAGAACGGGATTGGGTGACCAATGGTTTTAGAAGATGTGGTCCAAACGACACGAAATCAAGCCCTGTCTTCTTCAAGAAGCATGAAACACCAGGAGCCGTGCCAAGATGACACGCTGGAGAGGCTGTTGACCTCAGATGGCCAGCCTCCCATCAACCATTACCAACCACGAGCTTCAGTTGTCTTGACACGCTGAGCTCAGTGCGGTAGAGTCATCTTTGGTCAGGCTCTTGTACAGCTTCTGCGTCAGGGACACTTGCAACACTGGACCCGTGGGCGGATTTTGGGGGTATTCACGTACAATGCAGTGGCCAACATCTCAGGCAGCGATCCCATCAAATGACACCTTCTCTAGCAGTGGGCACAGTGTAGCAATTGTTGCTCCCAAGCCCTGTCCTGGAAGCGCTGGGTGCCCATTCTTGCCTGTCGAAGACTAAGGTTCGGTTAGCCTTCCCTGTTACCGTGCGTGCATATCTGCTTCCAGGAGAGCCTCGAAGTGGCTGGATACTAAAGGCAGGAAATGGATTCGCAGCCATGTACATGTCCTCTTTCAGGTGGCAGTATGCCTTCCCTATGGAACCGCTCCAAGCACAAAGGTCGAGAGAGCTTTGGCCGAGCAAGACTGTTTTGTTTGCCTCTGGCCTCCAGGCAGGCACGGATGCCCTCAATGCGGTCACCAATACCTTAGCTTCTTAGATAGTGCCTCTCAGGCTGGGCCGAAGGTTGCATGTTGGTGCTCCCGCCCTGGGCCCAGGCTGACGCTTTTCTTCGAGTCGTCCAGGGTGCACTTCGGCGCGCCCGTCTGCTCCATAGAGACAGCCCCTGCTAAGTCAGTTGCACATGTTGCTTTAGACTGCAAAGCTGCTTGGAAGATCACAATCGGCTACAAGCAGTCTCCACTGAAAACCAGTCTCAGGTCTGAGTGCAAGCCGCAGTCAGAGCCTGGAGGTTCTTCGCCAGAAGGAGCCTCGAGAATCCACGCATGTCGTACAACACGGGCCGGCATCCAGCTCATCAGCATATCTACCAGGCTAGTCATGGCACGTGGGACAGAATACAGCATACATATTCATACTTTATAACCACCACTACGAGTAGCATTAAGCTTGATGTGTGCACTGTGCCTCGCAACTCTTCGGCGAAGGACCTCAGCATGACTCGAGACCAAACAGTGGCAGCTTTGTTTAGCTGATCTTCAGATTCAATGCCCATCCAGAACACTGACTGTACAGGCATGGAACTTCTGTGTTGCCCCTTGCTCATCCCTGCTCGAATCCTCTGCCAAATCATGTACCTGCACATTGCATGTATCTGGGAGCCGAACATGCAGTGGAAAGGCTCCTTCCACTTGGACGCACGGATCCCTGGCAACAGCAAGAGTCCCACACAAGCACTCCGCTGTGAGCGGCTGAGCAACGCGCGAAAACTGCAGAAAGGTTCAGCATGACCCGAGCCTTTGCCTCCTCAACTTCTGTCGCACTGAGATCCTGCATCCGAGGAGAAAATGCAAGAATCATTCTCATGCTCATGCCTGCAGGGCAGCATCCCAAGAGCAAATGGCATAGCGAGTTTTCGGTGCATGGGGCACCCACACCTACTTACACCTACTTGCCTTCTCGACATCAGAAAGCAAATCAGACAACTCGCCCACTGACTGCAAGCTCAGGTCTTAAGCTCGAGCTAGGGACTTCCTGACTCTCCACTTACTCCCTCCCTGTTTACCGGCTAATTCAGTCGGCTAGGAGGGCCTTGGGGGAACCCGTCTTAGGGAAACGGAACGGAAAGCAATCTTGATGCGGGGAAGGACCCTAACCGCCTGCCTCCTTGTCTGGCAGAGTCCGCTCTGGGGTTGCACGCTGTGGGACCACCTCGCTTCAACACAGCCAGAGCTAGAACCAGGTCAGCATTCGCGAAATTCACACATTGTACTTGCAGAGGGACTTGATAAAAGCCGCATTGGACGTGGACCCCTGCACACTGCAGAGAGCAGACTCTGCAAAAGGCATCTGTTTGTGAACGGTACTGGAAAGAGAGAATCACTCTTAGCAGAACCTTGGGCTATTCTGAACCCACTGCAATGCCTGCAGTGGAGCATCGGAACTTGTTCCTCCAAGATCCGCTGGGCCGCAAGGAGTCTCGTCGGACTGGCCGCAATTGTTGTCCCAAGTGATCGAATGATGGCTGCAGGCCCGGCGCTACTTACCCCAAAAACTAAACAGAATGACTTGCCTTTAGATCAAAACACCAATAAACATAGTAAAGATTCGAACAGATGTTGCAATTATGCCTTGTATCTATCTACGCTTGGAAGCTCTTTTCAATGCTCCAAATTCAGGAAACAAAAGTGTCACTGAACACTTGCACATATTTTCTCCTAATACGCTCTCTGGCAAACCGAATGACGTGCCTTATGGTTGCACTTGTACATCCAAGATCGTTCAAGTAATGTCAGATTCTGGGAACACATAAAACGCGGTACCACGCATGCGGAACTGTGATTGCCTTCTCAGCAAGTTCATGTGCACGTTTGCATTCCCGCTCTGTATCGTTTTGGTTTTCGTTCAGCTTCCCCCTACTTGTATTCTGCAAAATTTGATATTGCTTTACTTGTGGGCCCTAGCGCAGTCCACTGGATGCAAGATCGACAGCCAAAGTCATCTTCGTCTCTTCTATAAATTAATATTCGTGATGGTTGCTCACATGATGGGCAGGGCTTGCTGGGCAGCATGTCAGTTTTTCAATGAATGCATGTTGGCCTCTGAGACCAGCATGATCTCCTTGGAGATGTCCTTGGGCCGAACCCCGTTCCTTGGTTCTCTGCAAAGCGGTCAACTGCTTCAGGCTTCACAGCTAAAATTGAGTCTGGCATCAATAGAGCTCTGAGGCCGCCACGACACTGACCTCCTGCACAGCGGATGGGTACGATGGGTGACAGAAACTCAAAGCCGTTTCTCGTCTTCTCATGTCTTCGTGAGCCAACGAGACAAATGATCCACCGTTGCCTCGAGCCGTCAAGTTCGGAAGCCGGCTCCTGGCAGGTCACTACTGTGTCTAGGCATCCTGTATAGCAGCACAGAACACAAGCTTCGTGGCACCTTGTGACCTAGGGCATGGCGAACAGACCCAAATAACCTGCTACTTGTGTTCCTCCATTAAAGTCCTCCTTTATGCCACGGGACGCACAAAATGGTGCGTAAAGCAAGCAGACCCTTTACTCTAGCAGCTCCGTACATGGCCCTTGCGATTTGAACACCATACACATTGCGTTGTCCTCCACAGTGATGACTGGAAACCCGGGACAGTAGATTTCTGTCCTGCAGCCAACTGCATGACAACAAATGTATCTCTACGTTTCTAAAGACCCGTGTTTGCATGACTTCATCTTGCCATTGCCTGCGCAACACAGCGTGCGAAAGGGTAACTAGTCATACACAAAGCTGCGATACATGGCTTGCTGAGCACAGCATGTTCTTTCGCGCAAGATATCTACATATGTCTGCGGTCCTCCATTCCTGCCGGATCCTCAGTTGGCCATAAGTATCGAGTGACTCATGGCTCTGCTTGTGCCAGCAAGTAGTGTGTCCAATCTGGGAGCAGCATTCCCCTTATGTCTCCTGTCTACAGGGGCTTACACACATTATGATTTGGCTTCAATGCATGACGAGCCACTGAGAAGGTCTCGGCTTCTGCGATCTGCCCAGCGGCTGGGTTGGAGAGGATGCGTCACGTGACCTGGTAAAGGGATCCATTTGAGGTGAGCTGTCTTGCACTCCTGAGAAAGAGAGAGCATAAAAGAGCTTGCAATCCTGCTGAAAAGGCGGCCAGGCAGCTCGTTCATGCCCGAGTTCGGCGTCTGCTCGGAGTCTTCCTATAAAATCCACACATCTGCTCGCTATACGCACAGCACGAGACGAGTCGCCGAGCTGTCAGTTGTCATGCTGGGCACCATGCCCCGTAGTCGGTGCCGACACTCGGAGATGGCTCCTTGCAGAGAATGAGGGTGACAAATTCTGATTAAATTGAAGCCTTGCACGGAAGCAGAGGTATGAATTCTGACCAGCTCATGTCATCCACATTTTAGACCAGCTGCCTCCTGGATTGGGCTCTGCTCCGGCGTTTCGCCTTCCTTGCTGCCTGCAGGGACCATCAGACAAACAACCGGAGTAGCTGTTGGAGGCAGTATAAGGCAGTAGCATCTGAGACATCTCATCACATTTGCATTCTTTAGAATGGACAACAGCAACCGTCAACATGCGGAAATCTACACTCAACAAGCAGCTGCATGCAGCTTGGCGAAAGCCTGGGCTAGGGCTCTCCTTGCCGCTTTTGGCCCGCTGCTCGCGAAGCCACTTTCGAAAGGCCTCCAGGGCTCGGGTTTGCCATAGCTAGTCCTGCTGATGCCTCTATCGCTTTCTATTCCCCATCTTGTTGGGCTGCTGCTATCTGTTGCTTGCGCATCTCCACTGTCGCGAATATCACACAGGAAATGCAACCTCACGACTTCACGTTGGGCTGGCAAAAGCAGCCCTCGGGCCTGGCTCTGGCGACAGCGCTCCTCCCGTCGTTGCTTGAACTTCGAGTCCTGGCGCCCCGCTTCACAAGTAGATGGATGCGAACTTTACACCACAAGTCATTCCTTTGGCTGGGCTGCAGACTCAAGAGTACTTCTCTTCTCTTGTAGCGTTGTTGCTTTCTACTCGCAAAGCCCTTCTCCTATGTTGCTGCCTGCCTTCAATGCGGAGCAAAGAAACATTCTGTCTTGGATGGTGCAAGGGAATCCGCTCCAAGGTCTAGCAATCCGCTCGTACCGTTACGACGAGCTGGCCGGTCCTCTGGCTCTACGTCTGGTGATCGCGGAGTCGCTGAGCCACTCCTGTCACAAGAGCTGCGCAGGTCTTGCTGCAGGCAAATGAGGCTGATTGAACCTTTCAAGGTCTAGCAGAGGCAAAATTCAAAGCACAAATACTTAGCCACCTCGAGGTCAGCTGGCCAGCAGTTCCGGAACCTTGGGGAAGGTTTGCCCGAAGATTCCAAGCAGGTGGTCAAAAATTGGCCAAGGTTTGCGATTGATATGCACCCCACATCAAGATCTACACTACACAAAGCCCTTGCTATGGAGACCCAAAAACCTTTGGCTTCCCCAATTGACCGCGAGCCCCGGGCCGGGGTGCTCCACCCGCTCAACTTGAGGAACTTGAGGCTTTGAATTCCGTGGGGACCTGGCAGTAGGCAATCAAAATTTGCAAGCTAGCTGAACATTTCTTTAGCTGCTTCGGATTCAAGTCCTTGAGCAGTTGCGGCCATGGCGGTGGAAGACCAGAAAAAAATTCGGCAGTTGACCACAACCGTGCTTCATGCCTCCTACTGGCATTTTCACAGGCTCTGAAAAGTCTTTCCTGGGCTCAGGGATGCCATCACGTTTCCACGACTGAATCCAAAAATAACGCCATTCCAACTCGCTGCACCAACCACAAATTCAAGAGCCAAGTTAACCAACGAAAAACTTGTTTCACAGGAATGAAATCTACTGTCGGAGCACCATGTGACGGCTCCTTTTCCACAACCATTCTTCTCACTCAGCAAGCCTCCGGTCCTTGCCCCCACCCGCAAAAAAATCAGCAGAATGCCGCTGCTGTGTCAGAGTCTAGCTGCTTGGCCTCATTCCTGCCTCAGCCGTCATACGTGGTTGGTGTGCATCGCCCAGCAGGGCAGGGCCCCTTGGCCAACACTGTGATGTTTCATCTTCGGCGGGACGTGGTGGCTTCTCGAAAAGGCTTCAATGTGTGAGACTTCACAATTCTGCGAGTCGTGCATCAAGCTCTATCACGACAATGCTGTGAAAGGATTGCCGGCATCATCCGGCATTACAAGCTACAAAAGGAAGGCGATCATCTCTGGTCAAGATTAGCAGGTCAGTGCACGCCGGATGGCTTCCGAATGCTTCCGACAAGACATTTTTCAATAGCCTTCAGCACTGAGCTAATGGTTTGAGTCTGCTGTGACCGCTCTTAGCATAAGCCCCTGGTGCAAGATCAGCACCCCAACTCCAGGAAACAACATCAAAGAACAGCACAAGACGGCCAAGCAAGGGGCGCGACCACTCTCACCAGCACAACCCAACCAAACCCAGCAGAATGCCGCTGCTGTGTCAGAGTCTAGCTGCTTGGCCTCATTCCTGCCTCAGCCGTCATACGTGGTTGGTGTGCATGGCCCAGCAGGGCAGGGCCCCTTGGCCAACACTGTGATGTTTCATCTTCGGCGGGACGTGGTGGCTTCTCGAAAAGGCTTCAATGTGTGAGACTTCACAATTCTGCGAGTCGTGCATCAAGCTCTATCACGACGATGCTGTGAAAGGATTGCCGGCATCATCCGGCATTACAAGCTACAAAAGGAAGGCGATCATCTCTGGTCAAGATTAGCAGGTCAGTGCACGCCGGATGGCTTCCGAATGCTTCCGACAAGACATTTTTTAATGGCCTTCAGCACTGAGCTAATGGTTTGAGTCTGCTGTGACCGCTCTTAGCATAAGCCCCTGGTGCAAGATCAGCACCGCAACTCCAGGAAACAACATCAAAGA